GGCCAGGGGGAGGGGAGCGCGGAGCCGGGGCCTCCCCCTTTCCCGGGGCCGAGCCGGGCCGGGCTGCGGGCTCCTCTGGCAGCAGCACCTGCTCCAACCAGTGTTCCCGCTACGCCTTTCCTTCAATGTGCGCAATAATTTTATGGGCACCAAGGCATGTGCCAATGGGCACCACCCCTGGAAACACAAATCTTAGCTGTGGGCGCATGAGAATCACAGGGGCCCAGCTTGCAGGGAGCCAGGCTCCAACCCCAGACCCTTGGGCAAGGAGGGATCCTGCCCCAGAGACACAGCACCAGTTTACAGAGGCTCATATTTGCAATATAGTGTCATGCCTACTTAGCTGATATTGCACCGCCCAGTGCATGTACACCACACCACTAACACCTGTCTGAGAGGGAGCTGCCTTAGTGTGTTTAGTAAAAACAACCAGGAGTCCTGTGGCACTGTAAAGACTAATACACGTATTAAGGCATAATCTTTCGTGGGTTTGTTTATGCCCTAATACATTTGTTAGTCTTTAAGGTGCCACAGGACTCCTGGTTGTTTTTACTGACAGGCGGCTGCTCATTACCAACACATGACAGCACTCCTGCACATCAAAGGATGTGCCATACTCAAAATTAAATGCCTTGCATGTTCAGAAGCTTCAGGGAGTAGCTCGGTTAGTCTGTTACAGAAAAAAACAACAAATGGGCTGGTAGCACTTTATAGACTAACAAAACATGTAGATGGCATCATGAGCGTTTGTTAGTCTATAAAGTGCTATCAGACCATTTGTTGTTTTTTTCAAAATTAAACGGCAGATAAGGTGCAGGGTATAACTGTCTGCATTGCATTGTAGCCACAACATTAGAGAGAAATCCTCAATTCTTGTGGCAATTGCCAGAGCATCTTTAAGGACCACAAGAGTTTAAGACTGTATTTGTTTTCTGGTTGCTCCAGCAACAAGGTAGCACCTAAGACCATCCTCGGAAGTGTGTGTGAGGGGGGAGGTGGAGCAGTTTTAACAGATACACACCATCTATTGGTTGAATCACAAAGCTTTTCCTGCACCATCTGGACTTTCCTTTTCATCCAAGACCCAAATATGCATGAAACAACTGGAAGATGTGTTACTTCTTGTCACATCTTGACTTGCATGATTTGTATAGGAAATTAGACACAGTGTATTTAATCAGCTTCACTGCAATAGGTAAAGCATAACAACAGTAACAAACTAATACCACCTCGCTCTTCATCTAGCACGTTTCAGCAGTAGATCTTCAAGTGTTTTACATCGTTATAGCCCCATTTTACAAATGGGAAAACTCGTATAGAATGGTGAAGGGATTTGCCCATCAACAGTAAGCCAGTGGCCGACCCAGGAACAGAACCCTGCCCTATCACTAGGCAACACTGCCTGCCCAATCTAATGTAATATGTATTTGTTATGCTCATTGACACGCAGGACTTAGATGAGCTGATCACGTGTGTCTTCTTTCTCCTCCCATCAGGCCCATACCAGAACCTCTAGGAGCTGTTTTAGGAAAGTCCATGAAGACAAGAAATTAATACAATCCCTGACCTACCAAAGAGTCTGATTTGAGGTTAGTAGCTGTCATTCAAATATCCCTTGGCTTTGTTTCCAGTGGGAACAACCACATTGCTGATTTTCACGTGGTCTCCGTCTTTACATGCGGAGGTGTCATGGGATGTAACCCTCAGCAATGGGTTTCTTTTTTCCCTTACTTTCTCTCGTGCTGGGGGGAGGGCTGTATAGTCTAGCATGACCCTGAACAAAACAGATTCGTGATCCAGAGAAGGGCCCATATCTGAGCAATCCCAGCCTTTGGGAAAGGAATCTCACCTTCCCAAGTGCCGCGATGAGAACGTGTTTAAGACGTAGAGGTGGGGGAGGGGAGGGCTTAGAGAGGTCACACCGCTTGGTGATTGATCTGAGCTGGCCTGCGCTCTGGCAGCAACAGATGCTGGCTGCTGCAGTCTCAGGCACAAGGAAGCCGGACTCCCACTTACCTGGCTCGCTCGTGGGGCTGCAGCCAGGATCTGGGGCAAGGAGGAGGCCTCCGGGGCCGCGTGAGTGGTGGGAATTCATTCGGTCACTCGAGGGAGCATGAAAGCGGGAGGTGCGGTGGGGTTTCCAGGCCTTGCAAGGGGGGCAAAGGGAGACTGGCTCGCTGGCCCGTTGTGGGATGGTGGATGAAGGGGGTATCAGGACGGCATCTAAGAGGCGTTTCAAACCACAATGCCTGAAAGCAGCAGCATTTTCCCTTTCCTGCCCCAGCAGCACCTGGTGCTAATCACCAGCCCGGCTCAGAGTGCCCATCACAGCTCAGGTGGCCCGCACTGCGCACTCAACAGGCCCGCCGTGGATGTGAGCAGGGGTACTGTGGACAAGACAAAGGGGTCTCCTGCCTATCTGGTGACAGCAGAAATCTGCAGCAGCAGCACATCCCCTGTGATACAAGGAGCCTTGCAACAGATCACAAGACGGCGTATCACCCCGCGGCCACGGCCAAATCCTCATCGGCGGCACTGAACCACCAGGCCCCACTGAGACACCTCCAGGCTCAGCCTCACAGAACTGCCCTCCGAATGGACTGGGGGAAGGGGCCGGGGGGATTAAAGGTGGCTGAGTGCCCAAGCAGCAGAAACCACTACAGGGCAGACAAGCACCATGCCCCCACGTTACCACTGTCCCAGGAAATGCTGGAGGCCCTGGAAGTATTGTGGGATGTTTTGTGGATTGGGAAATCAAGTGGAAAACCACATGGTCTTATAGAATCACAGAACCATAGAGCTGGAATAGACCTCAGAAGGTCATCAAGTCCGGCCCCCTGCTCTAGGCAGGACCAATCCCAACTAAATCAACCCGGCCAGGGCTTTGTCAAGCCGAGACTTAAACACCTCTAGGGATGGAGACTCCACTACTTCCCTAGTAACCCATTCCAGTGCTTCACCACCCGCCTAGGGAGATAGTTTTTCCTAATATCCAACCTGGACCTCTCCCACCACAACTTGAGCCCATTGCTCCTTGTTCTGCCATCTGCCCCCACTGAGACCAGCCTCTCTCCATCCTCTTTGGAACCTCCCTTTGGGAAGTTGAAGGCTGCTCTCAAATCCCCACCTCACTCTTTGCTTCTGCAAACTAAACAGCCCCAACGCCCTCAGCCTCTCCTCGTAGGTCATATGCTCCAGCCCCCTAATCATTTTGGTTGCCTTCTGCTGGCCCCTCTCCAATGCGTCCACCCACATCCTTTTTGTAGTGGGGGGCCCAGAACTGGACACAATACTCCAGATGTGGCTTCACTAGAGCTGAATAAAGGGGAATGAGGACATCTCTGGATCTGCTGACAATGCTCCTCCTAATGCAACCTAATATTCCATTAGCCTTCTTGGCTACAAGGGCCCACTGTTGACTCATATCCAGCTTCTCATCCACTGTAACCCCTTATTTTGCACTGGTGTGGTCAATGTATCGCTTAAAGCAGGCAACTGCCCGGGATCCTAAAGCATGTTAGTCCAGCCAACGCTCAGAAGGAAAAGAATCACAGACCCCCAACCGTCTCTGGATCGACCGATCGTAAATCTTTCCATGCCGGACTAGGTCACTAAGCAGGTTGCAGCCAACTACCATCAGCAGCAGTGTTCCCTCTTCATTTTTCCATTCATGTGCAGAATCAATTTTGGTGTGTGCACTGAGGCATGTGTGGCTGTGCACCACAAGTAGAAAGACAGGCTGCCAGCTGTGGGCGCTCTGCCAATCAGCTGGGCAGCACCTGAATCTTTCCTGGGTGGCCGCCCAAGTGCACGGCTTATAGGGAACACCGCCCAGCAGTATCTGACTTTGGCCAGTCTCCATTTGGCAAAGTTTGCAGAATCAATTTTGGTGTGTGCACTGAGGCATGTGTGGCTGTGCACCACAAGTAGAAAGACAGGCTGCCAGCTGTGGGCGCTCTGCCAATCAGCTGGGCAGCACCTGAATCTTTCCTGGGTGGCCGCCCAAGTGCACGGCTTATAGGGAACACCGCCCAGCAGTATCTGACTTTGGCCAGTCTCCATTTGGCAAAGTTTCATAGC